TCTGATACCGATCATCGACCGTCTCGTCAAACCGAAAGCTAAAGGCCCCGATCTGAAGCTACATGAACCTCTTTCAAATTTTTTCCTGAGTGCAGATGGTTTACTTTATCACGTAGCCACCCAAAACAACAAAACTCGACCATTTATGGATCAGCTCGTGGTCCCATCTGCTATGAAAAAGCTGATTGTTCAAAGATTCCATGATACCATTTGGTCGGGACACCTGAAATTTGAAAAGACTCTTTCCAAAATTCGACTTCAATTTTATTGGAGACACATGTACACTGATATCAAAAAGTACGTAGAATCTTGTCGCTTATGCATGGAAAGAAGCGCTCATAAATCCATCAAACGTGCGCCATTGCAACGCACGATGACACCTGAGCACCCCATGCACATCTGTAGTTTTGATATCGTTGGCCCACTAAAAACAAGCTATCGTGGTAATTCATACTATCTCTCTTGGATAGAACATTTTTCAAGATGGCCTGAGGCAATTCCATTGACCGCTACTGATACTACTACAGTAGCCAAAGCATTCGTTGAAGAAATCATTTCTCGACATGGCATCAGCAAATATTTACTTAGTGATCGTGGTTCCAATTTCACATCAAAGCTCATGAAAGAAATTTGCAAACTTTTAGGAACAAAACAACTTTTCACTACTCCCATCCACCCGATGGCCAATGGTCGTGTGGAAAGACTACATTCAACAATCGGCAACATCCTATCTCATTTTGTAGATGAAACCCAGAAAAATTGGGATGAAGTTTTGCCTTTAGCGCTTTTGGCGATTCGTAGTTCCGTGCATCGATCAACAGGTGATACACCTGCCCAAATTTTTACGGGTCGTGATATATCTTTACCTTTTGACGTAGACTCCAAACTTCCTCATGACCCGTACCATTCGATAGACTCATATCGTGATCTTCTAATTCGGCATTTAACAACATTGCATGAAACTGTTCGTCAAAACAACGAATCTGCGATTCAGGCCCAAGAACGGTCACATCCCACACAATCGAGTCCAATTACGTTCAAACCAGGGATGCTGGCATATTTACATCACCCAAGTTTCAAACCAAATTTAACGCGAAAACTTCAAAAAGTTAACCGCGGTCCATATCGTATCCTCGACATGACGAGCCCGGTTAACGCCAAAATTCAACATTTGTCCAATATCGGAGACATCCAAACGGTCCATATCAATCGTCTTCGAAAATTTGAAGAAGACGACCCGTTTCACACCTGTGTCGACACACCATCTCTCAGCAATGACTCTACCATTCGTTCCGTGCGTAATGCCTCAGAGAGCAGTAATACCGGTGCGCGCCCGCCCGTTACACTGCCGGCAAAGCCAGGGACGTTGGAGGCTCGTTCTGACGAGAATGTGCTCGACCAGGGTGACATTGCCCGGCTGGAGGAGGACTGGCGTATTTATCAAGCAGACCGCCGTGAGGTTCCCCAGGCTGATCACCTGCGGTATAACCTCCGGCCTCGCACAAATATACGCCCTCCAGACCGCTATGGCAATCGATAAGCCAACTGATGGCTACATGGAGACTGAGATCCCATGAAAGTTGCTGCGCTATGAAGGTTGATTGCATATCCCTCGCGCCTATATATCCAGCGAAATGCTGAAGGCTACATGGTGACATGAAATCCCATGAAAGTTGTTGCGCTAGAAGGTTGATCGTATATCCCTCGCGCCTATACACCAGCGAAACGCTGAAGGTGTACTGGAGTACACAAGCAATTGCCCTTTCATATCTAGTAGCGCTACATCTGCATTGTATATATAAGCATCCACTGTACATAGTATGTCAGATGAATGAATCTTTGTATGATGATTACCAAAGAATATGTTGTTGCTTGCTGTTGTCATCAATTCTTTGCATATGTTGCCATGCCAAAAACGTCTTGATACTGACACATTAGCCTTGTTTCTTTTTCAGGTTCCTGATTTCTGTGGCGGAACGAGTGCAGCGTCAAGAAATACCCAAACAAGCATGCTTTTCGATTCCCCTGTCAATTAACACATACTTTACGAACTAACGGATAATCAAGTTCTATTTTCGTCATTAACTTTATAACATTAGTCCGTAAAATCTTGCCAATTCTGGTTAGTTAGCAAACGCAGAAAATATGAAAGTTAACAATTCCAGTGAATTGTACACAAGTATTCATCTATTTACGAATTACCAGCCGACACATAAGAAATATTGTTAATTGTATGCCCTCACAAGCACACAATTCCATGGGTATGACGCCACTAGGTGCACTCGTTCGCAAGACGCCACTCTTCAAAAGGACTTCAAAAATCTATTGATTATATTTTTCCCAACAACTTATCAGACCTAACACAATAGTTAGATTTTCCAATAATACTTAACACACTAACCTATTGGCCTCTTCAATTAATTCTTTAAAGTAAGTCACTTGGCAGTATTATTCGGAACCGGTCATTTTGCAAGTCATTGGCTCATTAGCCGCTATTTTTTCCTCGTTAAACTTTTATCATTAACGATCTCTCGATCGAATGACCGGAGGTATTGCCCGTTTTTAACAACAACGCAATGTTTTGCTATCAGCTGTGTCAAAAATGTCTTTTCTGTTCTTTCTGTCACACCGTCTTCCATGGTCTTCCGCCTCTACAAATGTATATTTCTATGTTACCATGAATGTTATACAACGCAACGGCAAATGTATATTGGTGACACAGCGATAGCACAACATAAAAAAACTACATGTATGTGGATGTGGATGTTCGTTTACAGACTTACGGAAAGTAGTTCTGACTGTTGACGGATCCGAATGTTTGTGACTATCGTAGTCAATGGGTCCGTGGCACACCTGGGTAACCAACACATCAGAGGTGTCGTACAGAGAGCTGCCTTTCTCTCTCTCTCCCTCTGTTACCCAGTGTTATGTATGTGCTTTTTGGTAAATGTGTTGTACATATAATGCCAATGAATGACTGATTTGTTGTATGATGTATGTTTGTAGGGGGCATCGTTTTGGCATACTTTGATCCGTTTTTCTTTCGTTCACAGACCTTGCGTTTCTGTTACCCATCTGGGAGTGGCCACTATCTGACTCCCCGAGCAGCGACTTCGGAGAAAAGCCGATACGCATCACGGTCTGCAAAAGCTGGCTGATCATAGTCATGATGGGACTGGACGATCATTGCCAACCCGTCTGACTGTCTCAGTCGCTCTGCATCTGGTCCACGCATCACACACTGCAACAGCGGACGCCCTCACCAACTGCTACGGCTCGTACCATGGGTCCACCGCCATCACCAGGCTGACCCACATCGCCTGCCGCTGTGACTCCATCTGCTCAACGTGCATCTGCTTCATCTGCTCCATCTGCTCTGCCAATCCGTCTCGCCCCTCTCGTCGTCCGGGCCAGCCGCCATCAACATGGCTGAGCACACGTCGTCGCCATCAACACGTTGTCGACCAACAACAAGGACGCCAACACCCTCGCTAGTGGTTCACCAACCTCCAATAAGCTGATGACTTCCGGTATCCGTGCTGTGCGGCGGCAGCCAACGCCCCGTTGACCGTTGGGGCCCCTCCGTCACGGCGCACCATGGCCGCTGCCCCTCACCAACAACACGGACGTCATCAGCTACCCGGAGCGATGTCTGGCGTCTCACAGAGACAACGGTCGAACATCACGGCGACGATGCCAGCGACGACTACGAGGACGAGACAACCAAATCAGAGAGCAGTAACAGCAGCAGTTGTACCAGTAGCAGCAGCAGCAGCCGTACCAGTAGTAGTAGCAGCTGTAACCGGCGTTCCGTTCGCGGTGTCATACGTGGATCAATGCAGTTTAGGACCGTGATTGCTTATTGGCCGCCTCCTCTTGTCGGCTTGTTGGGGGAGGAAAGATATGTGGAGAAGGAATTCATGGCCTCCCACTCCCGGATGGAGGCCCCAATACCATATCTCTTCTAACCTCTCTTTTTACCCGTCTGGTCTTCTGTCTGGGTGTCTGGGGCGCCCAGCAACACGGGACCGTCGGCTCTTGGCCGTCGGCCACCCGGTCACGTGACGGCGTCCCGACACCCCATAAAAACCTATGTTTCTGTTAATACACCACTCACTTCTCCGCCACCGTCTTTGCCGGACGCAGTGCCGGACCCGTCTCCGAGGGCGGCCTTTCGCCGTCCAACATCAGTCAGCTGCACGGCCGCCGCCCGGCCGACCTGACCGGGGTCGGCCGGGCGGCGACCTAGCGTCACTAGAACTGCAATAACTTTTGCCGGCAGTGTGATGCCGACCTAATTTTTTCAGCAAATGAATAACAATTGTACGGTATATGTTATGGACGTTGTCTCGATGTGAAGCACGCTGTGCGTTTTTTGGTAGGCCTATGTAACTATTGAAATCCTCAAGCCCTTCTGCTTTGTGCAAGTGTGCAGCAATTAGCTTACAATAACTGAGTGGGAAGTTTTTTAGATGCACTTTTGTTACCAATGGATTCCGCACATTTTCCCCTTTCAGCTGATACCTTACTTACGCATTTTCAAGCAAAGAATATGACAGGAGACTCGTCAACATTTACATGAAAATCGCAGCAAAAGTTCGGTCTCACGGAGCAAAACAAAACGGTGTACTTTGGGAGCCCACCAATCTGTACCAGAATAAGTAATATTTTTTCTGGATGATATTTTAAACAGTCTGATCAATTTACGACCAGAAAATGTGAGAAAATTACGCTTTAAAATTTGTCGAAAATGAGGGTATTGGCCACTTCTGAACCCGGATAGCGGCTGTGTGCGCTGCGCTAGTCGAGTCATCCGACTCCGAGTGCCTCCGAGCATGCGGGAATATTTTAGGGTGATCCACGGGTACTTGCCGCGAATCCCGTTCGTTTCAGAAAATTGACACCTCTTGCTGTGCCTGTTTCGAGTCGACTGGCTCGACTGACATGCCAAGTGTTGTTAATTGTCTGTTACGTGATTATAGCCGTCTTCTTTATTCCAGGTGTGTCAAGCTCACTGCACAACACTCACCAAGGCAGACTACCTCGACGTGTTGTGGACTGCGCTCTCAGAATTGCCAGGTAAGTGCCTGGTTTATGTACGTGTAATGTAATACAAGAAATGCGTAAAAATAAATAGACGGCTATAATTAAAGCCCAGGACGGCTAACATTCATGGGCGTGGATTACCGCTGAGTCGGGAGTGCCCGGGCTCAACAAAACCGCCGCCGCCCTAGCTGTGACCTTGACCCGCGTCGTCTGCTGCGGCTCCAAAGCCAAGCCGGCGCGGAATTGGGAGAGCTCGGACACCCCCAACTCGGCGGAAATCCACACCCATGCTAACATTCCGTTCGGCGGCTGGTCGTCTGTTTAGCATTACCGTCGCCTCTGTAGTGGGGTAAGATCGTAGTGGGCGACGCCCGACGCCGCCGAGTGACCGTTACCGGCTGTGACCACACAGGATTGCTGCTCACCGTGCTGCTGGTCGACAAGATCGGCAGAAAGAAAACAATCGCCGGGGGACTGCTCATCTTCATCCTGTCGCTCTCTGTTCCACTATTCTGCATCCATAGGTGAGTAATTCGACGCGTTTTAAATAACGTGAATCCTTTAGAGTTGTATTAGATTCCAGCCAAATGAAAATCACATTACCGATAAAACCAGAAAGACTAAATATTGGAATTGTGCCGAACTAGTAAGTTATGACACCGCCTGGTTCCTAGCACCCGTAGCTCTTGCAGCCGCTGTAGAGGGTGGGGTACCAGAGGTTGCTGGGCTTGCAGAACTTGTAGCGGCTGCTGAAGTGGATGCCCAGCCAGCTGCAGGCGTAGCTGTCGAACGCCAGCAGCGCCTTGGTGACCAGCCTCTGGCTGTAGACGCGGATCCTCGGGCGCTGCGGCAGGAGGCACACGGTCATCCTCCGATACAAATCTTCGCTACATAGTCTGTGTATAGTTTAAACATATTTTCGTCGTCACTTTCATAAAACAAACTAATGATAAGCTCAGCTGTGAAGGCACCTATACAGTTTTGAGTTACTCACCCACTGATACAGGAAGCCGCTGAGGAAAGACTGGAAGGTGGCCTTGCGCGAGTAGATGATATCCTTGGGGTAGCTGGCGAAGCGCAGTCGCAGCACGGGCAACAGTCCGTGGCTCCAGGCGGGGCACAAGAACGACAGGTGCGAGTACTTAGCCTGGCACACCTGTACAGGGACGGAAGGATCGGTCGTCAACCCCCCGCGACGTGAATAACACATTCAGGTAGAGACAATATCAATCAGCCTCATCATGGCGAGACTGGAGCCTCCCGGAGTACAGCCATATCGTCAGTGCAGGAACGTGCACAGCTGAAAAGATTCGACAAACTCACCAGACCGTCGTATCCCGAGCCCCACTTGATGTGCTTGGGCGTGGTGATCGTCTTGATCCTGCTGAACCAGCTGGACCACGGGTACTTCCTCTTGCTCAGGTACTTGTAGAGTCCACGGAGCGTCCTTCGCGGGAACCACAGGTTCTTTTCAGGGAAGAGATCTGGGTGTGGGTACGACAGCCTGGTCTTCCCCTGTCAAAGATAAATGGGCATTGAGGACCTCCATCGAATACCAAACAAGCACTCCATTCACCAGCCGAACATTGGTAGTGTGATATCCTACAGTTCGGTATAGAAAAGATGACTGAAAACGGTCTGAGCTTTTGACGGTAATTTAGGTTAGGATTTGTTAGCAGTAAAAAGTAAAAACTGTTTTCCAATTAATTCTCTCGTCTTTGCTGGCTTGTGCTTAACACAATTATCGAATTCGTGTTTCAATTCCATATGTTTCAGTCCGGTGCGTTTCAACGTTCACCTAAAATTGTCATATCGTAACGTTTATCAATATGCTGCACCAGTTAAGGGGCTACTAATCGTTATGCTTTCCCAGATCTGAGAGTAGACACTATTATGTACAGGTTATTTTAGACTCAAAATATGTAACGACTATTTTCTTACGATGAGTAGCGACTTCAGCGAAGCCCTCTTGAAGTACGGCTTGGAGGGGATGAATTGGTAGGTTTTCAGCCTGGAGACGATCGTGGGCAGCCTCGGGAATACGTACTGGTATCGGGTGACTGCGGACACAAGATTCACGTTAGAGAAATATAGTGACAGAATAACTGTCAGCTGACACACTGAGGACACATGAGAGCTGCCAGGTGACACAGTGACATGCTATTCGAGAGGGGACACAGTGACGCACGACAACTGTCAGCTGACACATCACACAGTGGCACACGTTTGTCTGTTACTATACATTGGGTGACACACGACTGTGTATACGATTTCGCTCGGAATTTATTTAGAGATATGCAATTGTGCATTACATAAGGGCGGATGCTGATATGTCGGCGATGATCCCCGAATGTAAACTTGGACCTCAAGGTGCCCACACGCAAACGGTCACCCGGAGGGGCATAGTTGCTTGAGACAGCTGTCCTCACTGCAGTTTCCCATAGTGAGGGTGACCGCCAGTCAAATTGAGTATGACCACTGATAAGAATGGGCGAATTCGTAGAGTGGAAGGAGCCAGATGGTTAGCTAGACTCACAATGCCGCTTGAAGTTGAGACTGAGCACATGCCGGCTATAGAAGGGTCTGAACAGGCTCCAGCTGGCGGGAGCCACCAGATGACTGCACATGTAGGTGTCAGTCAGCGCCAGGTGATCCTGGAACGGACGGCCGTGATCAGCACTCGCCATGGAGATACCGGTTCGGTAACGATAAAGCACCGGTCAAATCAGCCCGGTAGCAGGTAACGTAGACGACAAACGGCCACGCTAAACACCGGACCGGTAATGAACAACCACTGGGCTCTGGTCATTAATCACCACCCCCAGTTACCAATGAACGCGCGAGGGACTTACAAAGTACAAGCTGCTGTCGGTGATGGTGGGGTAGTACTTGGAGACGTGGCTGTAGAGATTGCTGTAGAACGGCTTCGGATAGTAGAAGACGGGCGGCATCAGGTCCACCAGTTTGCTGAGGTACTGAACCCAGTACCGCTGCGGCACCAGAGACTGCAGGCACACACTTGCATGGTCAGTTGAGGCAATCGAGCTTAGCTAAACGGTCATTGGACACGGCTGGTCCGATCTCTGCCATTCCAGACTCGCACTGTTCCAGGCGCTACCAAAATATTTTCACCATTGTGAGTCAAACACTCCTATCGGCATTATGTCGAGAACGGAATATCACCAAAAAATCATAAATTTTACGATCTGTGCAATAATATTTCCCAATTTAAACTCTTTAACCGTATAAAGTAAAGCTGAACCTTTATCTATTTAACTCTATGTAGAAGATAATTGGCGGTGCGGGCGGCTGGGCTCGCTGACCTTCGGGGAGATGTGCGGCAGGCCCAGGTGCGGCAGGTAGAGGTGCGGCGGCCGGCGCACATAGTACTGCACGATGTAGTAGCAGGTGAGGTCGCTGATGTCCGGGTAGCGCAGTCGGATGGGCGCGCAGTAGCGCGGCTGCCAGTACGGAGACAGGTCAATGCCGGCAAAGTGGCGCGACTGCAGGTAGGTGCCGTAGTGGCCGGCGCATAGCGCCGCGGACGCCGCCAACAGGATCAGCCGCAGCATGGTGTGCCGGAGGGTGCCGACCAGGGCGGTGGCTGCCGGCCGCGTCGCGCCCGCTCATATAGGGGGCCCGCCAGCCGTGGGCGGCCCCACCGCCGCCGGTCAGCAGTGACATGGCGCTGTCACCGCGGCCGCCAGCCGGACCCCCAAAGGTCGCACCTGACGCCAATGCGGCCCGGCGACAGCAAAAGGACGACAAACAACATCGTCAGACGGCGGCCGCCGGACCCGTCCTCGCCGGTGGCACATCCGCGACCGTCGACACGGCCAGAGGCTGCGGGGGTCGCGGGCCGCCGCCAACTCGGCTTAACGATGACAATGGGCAGTCAGTCTTGCAAGTAACACGCATCGGTGCCAGTAGCGGCGGAACACCTTCAATTAAGGGGGGGGGGGGGGCACTGCCGACCTTTGGTCCCATTCTTTCCATGCAACGTCCATAGGGCTAATGTTAAGATGCCAAAATCAAAGGGGGCACGGTGCCCCGGTGCCCTCCCCATTCCGCCGCCTATGATCGGTGCGGTGGATCCATCAAGCCATCAAGATCCATCAAGGGCTGCTAAATTTGAGTCACTGAACCAATTGACATCCTCATCCATCCCCCAGGTTTCAATTGGTTCGGTGACTCAAAATTAGCAGCCATTCCTCAGTCTGGCTTGATGGATCCACCGCACGATGCGCAGTACCTACTTTCAAGACTGACTGGACAATGTCGCTGAGCAGCGCGGTTGCCGCGATTCGGAAACTGCTCCTTGTAAACTGACTCTCGCATCGTGTCACATGGAGGCCCAGGGTAACAAAAGAACGATGCCAAGCGCAAGACGACACTCATCATCTCTTGAGTTGTGAAGAAATAGGTACTTGTGTACTCCAATGATCGACATAATATCCACAAGGATACGAAAGAAAAGCGTTAAAAATGGCGCTTGGAAAGAGAGCAGCAAATGTAACTAAAATAATTATAGAGTGATTAATCAATTATGATAGCAGCTGTGGCTGGATCAAAGTGCATGTGCATTGTCCAAATCACACACATTTCACAAAAAAGGTCTTCTGTTGTCTGCCGCTGGTAGCGGAGTATTGGACCAATTTGTTCTCGAGTCCGCTACCCAGTTTTGCTTATTTATTCGGTGTGTGTTGGGGGAGGATTCGCTATCAGTAGGTATCGGCTGCTCCTCAACCAAATAAGCGATCCGCAGGTATCGGAGAAGCGGAGGAGCAGACCAAAGCTCAACTACGGCCACCTCTGCGTCTGCATATATGCATATCAAGACAATACTCTCGTGCCAGTTTTTATTGCTTGTAGCGCTCCGGAACACTACGGCCATTTTCTTAGTCAGATAAATACTTAATTACACGATGATGAAATATTCCGATAAGTCAACTCATCCGAAAAGCCGTTCAGATAGATTTTATTGGTACACAAGAAGTGTTGTCTAACAAATTATACGAAGGGTCGCAATCGCGCAGAACAGGTAATAGGCACTTCGCTGATAAGAAGTGATATGCAAGGGCACATGACGAAACGGCCCGTCAATAACTAGCGAATTATTTATTTCTGATATTGCAACTCAGTTTGAATGCTTTCATTCGCAGGTATACCAGTATTTCAAAGAAAGATAATTAATTTTAAAACGTTTTATGGGAAATTTAATATGTAGTTACCTGTTGTCTCTGGTAACATGGCCTATGATAAGGCACGCTGTATGCAATTGACCGATATAGTTCACTTTATCCAGTACCACTTTATTTGGAATTATTACGTGCCTTTGCAACACCAAGAGCATTGCGGAATGTATTGCAGTTATCATTTAAGCGTGCTGTCAGTTGTAATGAGAGAGAGAGAGAGAGGTCGTTTGCATCATCAGCTCCCGCCGCTGCGACCAGGCGACATGTCAATCATTGAGGATGAGTCACAGCCGGGCACGAAGGCGGATTCCCGAAATGCTGGTCGGCGGTCTATGGGTCAGCTCTACCGACTCATATGCCGCTGGTGTCACATATGCAGATGCACTCATTCCGTTTTCACAGCTTTCACCTTTCAGTCCCTACAGAGCACCATCCAAAAATGGGAAGATTTTAAATTGCAACGTCTTCTGGAATACACTCACATGACAAATAAAGCTCCTACAGATATAGAGCTAAAAAGGCAGCAAGGTTAACGTTCGAATGACAGAAACGGACACAAACATCTAAATTGTCTTTACTCATTAGCCACTTACCAAAGAGACCCGTATAAGCGTTATTATATGGCCGTTTTGAGTATCAATCGGTGACAGTGGCCATCGCAAAACATTGAGTAGGTACTGTCCCATGTTTCAGTCGCCTTCTACTGACCGGTGTTTCACATTTCAGTCGTATGCTGCTGACGGCTTCCCTTGGTGTGGGCCGTGCCGCGATTGCGTCCGTTTTCCTGGGTCTCACCATTTACACACCAGAGGTAAACAATTCACTAATTCATACGGAGCAACCGAGATAAAATGAAATGAAAGGAAAATGCTATTGCATGCACAGTTTTAACCCCTGTAGGTACTGTGTTGGGTTGGTATCTGCATAGATTCACATCCATATTATAGCCTTTTATTTAGGTTGTTAGTTGGTTTGCCATAGGTAAATGATGTTGAACTTTTGCATCGTTGGACTTACATATTTATCTTTTAGGTATGTACGTCATTAAGTTCATACAGGTTTTCGTCCTTCGCTCCCAAAAGAATTGAACTAGCCAGTCGCGAAAGCCACCGATGGACTCAGGAAGACATGCCGAGTCGAATGACATGCAATATGACCTCTTTCGACCAGCTTCGTGCATGAGTGGCTCTGACCTGACCTTGACCTGAGGTTAACACACTAAGCTAACAAACAGTATATCATTCGACGCGCCTAAGAATGGCAAACACAATGGTGCCAAAATCGCGGCCTTGCGGCCATTTTTGACATAGTTATTTACCAAAAACGGAATCCGTACCTTGGGACACTTGACCTGACCTCAGGGGTCATCGGTTGGCCTGAGACCTTAACCCTCGCCGGCACAGGGGGGGGTTGATGCAACCCCCCTAAGGTTTTTCGCAAATAACTCGCGTAAAAAGCGGCCGATCGCGACGAAACTTTTAGTACCCTCGCATTGATCAATTTTACACCTACCCTGAAAATTTCATGACCCTGACCAAAATGACCTTTGACCTGTAACCTCTTTTCCGAGACCATGTTTGGCCAGAATCGCGATTCGGCGTATGTCGGCTTGCATTAGCCGCGCGTTTGCAAGCTTTTCGTGGTTTCAAACGTTCAAACATGTGATTTGATGTTGCTCCCATGCATTAGGGTTGGTGCCAACGTCACCTGAAGGTCGGGTCAGGTCATTGACCTTTGGTGACCTCGGTTCACTTTTTCGAGTTTTACATGTTTCTAGGCTAGGTTTTTGGAGCTGAATTCGAATTTAGCAACCATTTGAACATTTACGAAGTAGTTTTGGTGCCTTCGTAACATGTTACGAAGCTGTCAGAGGCGGGTGACAGGTACTACGAATACCCGTCATGACCCCTACCGGTTGACCTGACCTGACCTGACCCAACCTGGTCTAAACGCTTAACGACATCATCTGTGATCAAAACTAACACGATATTCGTGATCAGCACCCCGGAAAACCCCTTAGCAGCCACACTTTACGACTTTTTAACAGGTCCCGATATTCCCGATTTTTGGGTCATTGACCTGACCTGGAAGGTCAACCGATGACCTAGGACCTTAAAATTGGGTATCATTGGCTTCCTCTCGTGACGGGCAACACGCTCGTTTTTTTCCGCGAAGCTCTAGCTCCATCAGGGGCCAAACCCGGGGGGGTCGTACCTAGGATACCAGATACCTAGGATACCTAGGGTCGTACCTTGTGCCGTCGAAGGACTCAAAATGGTCTGTGCCGGCGAGGGTTAAAATGGATACCAGTTGCTGTGTCTCGTAACGGCGAATGTGCTTTTTCCGCGAACCTCTAGCTTAACTAAGGGTGAAACGGCGAGGTAGTGTACCTGCACCCTCCTCACCTCGGCTGGGGAGTATGTAGAAGACCGCAGGTCCGCAGAGGGTTATCCCTCGCCGGACCAATTGGTTTTCTACGTACGCGGGGGTCGGTATGACCTCTTTAGCCGTTACGCACCTAATTGAGCTAGAGCCTCGCATAAAAAACGAGCGTGTGTGCCATTGCGAGACGCAGCGATTGGTGTCCGATTTTCAGGTCTCAGGTCAACCGGTGACCTCTGAGGTCAGTCAGGTAAGTGCCCCAAGGCACCGATTCCATTTTTGGTAAACAGCTTCGCCAAAAATGGTCACAGAGCCGCGAAAACGGCGCCATTGAGTTTTCCTTGCTCAAATGCGTCCAATGGTAGGTAGGTATACCTACTTTTTGCTCGGGTGAGGTCAACTTAAGGTGTCGACCTCGGGTGGAGGTCAGGTCAGAGCTCCTCAGGTCACGAAGCTGGTTGAAGGAGTTCATATTGCATAGCATTCGATTTGGCAGGTCTTCCCGAGTCCATCGATGGCTTTCCTCGCTGGCTCAATTTTGTCGGGAGCTATTGACGAAAAACTCCTATGACCCTGGTGACGTCATAAATGACGTCACGCAAGGTCAACGATGCAAAAGTGAGCATTAAACCGTGCAAGTAGTGCATGAAATCACTGCAGATGTCAATTGTCACATGAGGCCTACCGGGTCGATAGCTTTTCATCGTATGATTGACCAGTGTTCACATATGCTCGGTTGAGTTAGCTTAGCGCCCCGTGACCTGTTGATTTCAGGTTTATCCCACGCACCTGCGCGCCACAGGCAACGGCACGTGTGGCGCCTTTGGAAGGATTGGGGCCATCACCACCCCACTGATAGCCCAGGTAGGTACGGCCATGGCTCAGATGTCCGTCTTCATCCTCAGGATCCTCCTGTTCTCGTCATTCATGCCTGTGATCCGCACTTCGGTCTGGATGCTCATTGACATAGCGGAGGCATTCTTATGGAATAAATGACCCTGGTGTAACCGTTAGCGCGGCCCGGAAGCCAATCCCCGGGCTCTGGTTTCGCCCCTTGGAATGGCTGGCAGCACTTGTCTCCCAGGGGTACTGAATGAAGTGAACGTCTCAACTCCAGACGAGAATACAGAAGTCGAGCAAATGACATCCGCATAGCGTTGAATATAGAATAGGTGCTTGCTCAGTGCCCAGCGGCTTTCTGCTGAGTCGTAGCGAACAGGTGAACAGTGCTGAGTCTGACGGGCGACTCGTCTCCCCACAGGTGCTAATCCACAGCTCGGTGCGCCACACGGCCGCGGTATATGCCTCCTCGGCCGCGCTGGGGATAGCCGCCACACTGCTGCTGCCGTATGAGACGGCCGGCCGCGCCATGGTGCGGTAGGGAGCGGTCGATCCTAACCCACCCACGCACCGACAGGTGTGGGTGTATTCTCAACACCGGGAGACAGTGAGTTGCAATTTACGAGGTCTCCCCAGTCCCTGCATTTTGCAGGTTACGCAGAACTTAATCGTCAGGGAAAATATCGCCGGATCGTACAAACTCTGCCTGCCGCTAACTACCCCGTCCCCGACGACGTATCGTGTGTAAGACTGAACCCCATTTAAGCCAGTCCCCATGAACCAACTGCATAATTCAAAGAACATGAGTTCCAGGCCTGATTGCGTACCTATCTACGAAAACACTACAGCTGCTCGCTTTTGTAGTTTCCAGACATAACATTTTGCGATAAAATGTACAAAAGTGACCCGTGATTCGGTGAAATGCATTGACAGCATTGCTAATGCCTACTAGCATTGTTAAAGGGACCCTCCCACCTTCAAAAAAGTTTATGAATTGGCATGAAAGTGATGTCGCTCGGTTCAGAAAGAGCGAAAACGAATATCTACCAAATTTCACCGAAAAATATTCACCGGTTTTCAAGATATTAGACTTTTACTTTTGTTTACTTTTTTGGGATCTCCGCTGTTTCTAGCGACTTTATTTTAGAAGTGCGGCGTTTGCGGCAGATGTTGCGCGCAAATAGCATATACCACCGCGTGCTACAAAACGTTTTAGTCAAACATTAAAAAATCGTTACATATCTGCGCTGACGTCACACATTCAGAGGGGTATTCCTAAGCATTAGCCCCTCTGAATCAAAATGCTGCAATTTTGAAATTCAATATTTCCGATTTAAGGCATTTCTCGATGTTGTGAGTGCCGAAACCGGTAATTGTGAGCCAGGGACCCCATTTTGGCTATCTCAACTCAAATCTAATGTTAAGGTGGGAGAGTCCCTTTAAAGGGACTATCCCACCTTCTAAAATGTTGTTAAAACCAGTTAAATTGTGCCCGACTTTATAGATTGGATGACCAGGAACACGATTCTGGCATTTATTTTTCATTTAACATCTTAGGCTTCCCATATTCCAAACACAAACTTTCAAATATGTGACGTCACAGCCCAAAATTACCTCCTTCCCGAGGCCACATTACTGTCATAAAGCTGATTCTTTTTACTCTGTAGGCACCACAACAAAGTTCAGACCAAGTTTTAAGCGATTTTTCAACGAACAAACCCATTTAAATCAGAATGACTAAACGAGGTGACGTCACACTAACGGTCGCTCCATGTTGAAGATAGGGCCTTGCACAAGGCCCATTTTCAAATGAAGGGAACGAATTTCTTCAACACCAAGAGGCCGCGGGGGTTGCAACCTAGATAGATAGTGGTTTCTGAACCTCGCCGCAAACTTGGCTATCTCAACTCAAACTCCATGTTAAAGGTGGGATAGTCCCTTTAATGTATATTATCCATACATGAGAATCGCATGCATACATATTTATACACTTGAGTACGACCAAGGTCCAAAATACTCCTACGTTTTCATCGAGGCGATCTATTTCGGCGCGACTTTGTTCCTTGTTTTGTATAATGCATGTTTGTGTATACCCGATTATTTAAAATGCAAGAAATAAAATGCGAATAACGTGCGCCAGGAATCTTGTAAGAAATAGCCGAAAAACACAAATGTTAACTGGTGAGTTGCATTTTGAAACATGTTCGTCACTTCAATAAAATAACAGTATATCCAACGCGTGTATTGTATCGCACGCACCTATCAGTCATTTACAAAATGTGTTTCACTCCACTCGTTTTACATTACAGTTTCACAGCACCTTCTCAAACAAGGGTAAAAACTCTCGTTACAAACTTGCAGAGCGTCTCATTAAGAAACACAGGCAAAGTACAAGGATCGCCTGATGACCCAGAATCCCTCTCTCAGACAGTACAGCCTGCTGCAACCCGTCATAGCGCCAGGGCAACACAAAAGAACATTTACAAACGTTCAGCAACCCACGGGACCAGTGACAGCTCGCACAAGACTGTCCATTCTCGGTAACGAGCCTGCCTGTGGTATTCAATACCCTGTGCCTGTGAGCCTGTACCACATCTAGACATGTTACAACGCAACACTTTTTGATGCCAATACCAATTCAGAGGCCAGCTACACAAACGTATACAAATTATCAGAACGGCACACTTATTATGGGCGCAGAACCGGGCCGGCCCGTGTCAGAGACTGCCCTAGGGTTCTGACCTGTGTCTGACGTCGGTCAAAGGGTCTCTCCCCGTGTCCCGTCAGCAGGTCACGGCTCGTATCACACGACGGTGAGCGGATCCCGGTCGGCCTCTGACGTCACCAGCTCCACCTGTTCGGCCAGCAGCGCCTCCAGCCGGCCGGCCAGCCGCGCCAGAAAGCCTCGCTCCGTGTTACTGTGTTCGCACAGCACCACATGACTGCCGGCGTGCGTGGCATCCAGCACCTGACGGGGGAGGGGGTACGGTCACAGAGGGTAGCAGTAAGGCGACAGGACCGGTCACAGCAGGTCACAGTGGAGCGACGGGTGACTCGACTCTGGCCACTGATATGCAATGGTCGACGGTCGTACAACACTTCTAGAATTAACCCGCGCCCCGTTGGGCTCTGCCGAGCAACGCGCCCTGTTGGGGGGGGGGGGGGGCATTTTGGCCCCCTCTAAGATCTCGAGAACCACGCAACCTAGCGACAAGCGGCAAACGGTGTTGGATAGCCCTATCAGGGAACTACCCTGTGACCCAATTTTATTGACCTGGGTCAAACCGATGACGTCACAGGTCAGGTCAAAGGTCCAATTTTCACCGTTTACAGGCATTTCAAGAAATGCGTTGTAAAATCGAGTAAAATGCATTTCATTGAAAATCATCGATGGGGAAATGTTCTTCAAACACATATATTGCTATTTGAGGTCACTGATACCAGGTCAGGTCACAGAGGTCAGGTCACTGGGGGGTCACAATATGAAAGTGTCGTGTGATACATGTTTTATGGTCCATTTTACATGACAAATGCGATTATGTGGGTCAGGCAGCCTTTGGGGCCAGCTTAGGTCACGATTTGGTGAAGGTCAGGTCAAGGTCAGGTCAAGGTCAGGTCAAATTTCAAAGTTAATATTTTGCATAAAATGGGCATCGAATCGATGCAGCTCGTCACGGGGAGTTCAATGGTGGTCTTTGTTCTGCCGTACGTGGTCTAGAATCGCTAAAAATTGAGTTAAAAAATTTGACGTCATCATTTTTGAACAGTTTTTTTTTCGCTATAACTTGGCCAAAAAACGAGATATCGATCTGAAATTTGGTATGTATATAGAAGAGCGCAGGGACTATCACATATATTCCGGTTTTTCGAATTTCGGAACAAATTTTGATTTTTTTTTTAGTTTTTCTAAAATCTTTTTTTTTATTTTTTGGGGTCAAAAACCCAAAATTTTGAAAATCCGAGATAGCAGTTTTGTAGCGCCGCTTTTTGTCTACTAGACCACATTAAGAACTTTGAAATTTCTTGATAACTGTAGATTTGGTGAGCGTTTCAAGATTGCATGTTTTTTGCTCATTTTTGCTCGAACATGACCTCAGTTTGACCTCAATAACTCCTGACCTAAGGTGACCTAAGACTTGAAATTTAGTGTGAAGGTGTCAAATTGATGCCCGGGAAGGTACTGAAAATTTGGCGGCGCGCAGCGCCGCCGTTTTCTTGCTATTTAGGAAAAACCACAGGGGGGGGGGCCAAAATGGCCCCCAACGGGGCGAGGATTAACTACAACGGTGCAGTAACTGTACCTGCACTGTATTAGCTGTAGCAATATCTATACATTTTTCTATTATTTGCAACATTGTGACGGCGATGAGTAAGCGACCTCCGGACAGTATGCATACTGGGAAAATGTTGAGCCCGGCGACCCGTTGTCGTTTGGCAGTAGTCCGTACCTCGTGGTGTGACATTTCGCCGGTCAGCAGAAGGTCGGCCTGCTGACCGGCCAGTACGGAGCCGCCGGAGCCGGCACAGACCGCCACCGTCCGCACCGGCGAGTCTGAAAAACAACAAATACAGATACAGGAGGCAGTCCGCATCGGCAAGTCTGAAAAAGGACAGATACAGAGATACAGGGTTGTACGCACCGGCGAGTCTGAAAAAGGACAGATACAGAAACAAATACAGATACAGGCCGTAACAAATACCTACAGACCGTAATAATCGTATGCACCGGGAGTCTAAAAAAGCAAAAAAAAAACAGATATAACGCGGATATAGGTACGCAGAACCATAGAGATCTTATATACATAGAGATGACATGCACTTAAAATCGTGGCGATTCAGTGGGTCTTTTTAAGCAACTTATTTTTAGCCAGTAGCGTGCCAATATGGCTGAGGCATTGTTGGCCTGAAGAAATTATTACGTAGCGCGCGAAGCAGGCGTAGTCTTTCGTAGATTAACAGAAATTTCTGAGTATGAGCGGCCGGCCGGCCGTGGTTACGCTTTTGCGAGGCTTATATCTCAGCAACCACTTGACCGATTTACATTCGATGATTTTTCTAGGGTAGCTTCATTCCTTCTACCAAGTATTGAAATATTCTCGATGCATGTGGGTGACCGCTTATGCACGTGCCACGTGCAAAACGAAGAGGTGTCAGTTTTGCAATTGTTGCAATATCTTGGTAACTAATTGGCCGATTGCGCTGAAAGTTGGTATGTATGTAGGCACCCACTAGGCATTGCATATCCATGTGCCACAGTTGGGGTGCTACTGCACGTGCGCACGTGCAGGGGTCGATTCCAGATCTCGAGAACGGCTGAACCGATTGTGCTGAAATTTGGTACATGGTTAGGGACCAGTTAGTAGGGTGCCGTGCAAAAGTCAGTTGTGACCCATTTTGCACGTGTGCACGTGCAGGGTGCCGCTTCCAGATCTCGAGAACGGCTAGGCCGATTGCGCTCAAATTTGGCACATCGCTAGGGACCGGTTAGTAGGGTGCACACCCCCCACTAACTTGTGCACTGCACCGGGTGCAGTGCACAAGTTAGTGGGGGGTGTCCCTTGCAAATTCGCTTGTCCAAGGCCCACCCTCTCGCTCGCTCCGTTGGTCGCCCCAAAAGGCGTTTTCCTGGTTAAAAATATTGCTGTTCTTTCCTGGCTGATTTCATTCCTGAGGTAAGCAATGAAATTTGTAACATGATTTCATTTTGTGTTTTTATTGAATTCCTTAAAAGTTCGCCTAAAAACATTCTCTCTCATTCAGCCTCTCATCAACCCGGCAGGCGGTGGACCTCCCGGCCACCTTCCGCGCGGTGGGGGAGGGGGTATTTTTTGCCCCCCTCCCGTATCTCCGAAACTACTGGACGGATCCGTAACATTCAAACGATGTTCGATAGCCCTGTCAAATTTGTCGACGGAACTCCAATTTCATTGACCTCGGGGTCACCGATGACGTCACAGGTCAGGTCAAAGATAAAATGTTTCGCGTACGTTAAAAATAGGGCGTACGTTGGCTAGTATGTGTTGCCATTAGAGGTCACTGATAATACCATGTCAGGTCACAGGTCAGGTCACCAAGGGTCAGCACATGAACCAACTTTACTATTTACTAGGGTTGTGCGATGCATGTTTTATGGCCCCCCTGGCATGGTCCCCCCCCAAAAAAAGGTTACAGGTCTAAGGTCATTTGGGTCAGGTTCATGGAATTTTCAGGGTAGGTTCCTTGAGATTTGGTCAAGTTTGGCGCTTTCGGTCAACCGTCGTGAAAACGGCTGTTCTGAACCTTTCTGAGCACGGTGCAAGCTCAAATATACATATGTTGCATGTTCCCATTCAATGATACATTAACCCTCGCCGGACCTATTGGTTTTCTACATACGCGCCGGCCGAGGGGGGGGGGCGGGTACGACCCCCCCCCCCTCGCCGTTTCGCCCCTGGTGGAGCTAGCGCGTCGCGGAAAAAACGAGCGTGTGCGCCATTACGAGACGCAGAGATTGGTACCCGATGTTAAGGTCCTAGGTCAACCGGTGACCTCTGAGGTCAGGTCAAGTGCCCCAAGATACGGTTCAGTTTTTGGTGAATAACTTCGCAAAAAACGGCCGCAGAGCGCCGATTTTGGCAGCATCGTGTTCACCTCGCTCAGTCGCGTCGAATGACATACTTTTTGTTCGGGTCAGGTCAACTTGGGGTGTTGACCTCGGGTCAAGGGCAGGTCAGCTCCCCGAGATCACGAAGCTGGTTGAAAGAGGTCATGTTACATATTACTCGAATCGGCAGGTCTTCTGGAGTTTATTGGTGGCTTTCCCGACTCGCTAACTCCATTTGATGGAGAGTTATTGATGAAAAACTCTAATGACCCAAGTATATAACTGCAATTTGAAAACCGTAAGCCTCATGCTAATAATTATATTCGAAATAGGGCCAGAAAATAAGACATGTTGGCCAAACTGACAAACTGACTTTTGTCAAACCGTCTTACGGTTTTCATTGCAGTAATATATGTAATCATGAGCCTCAAAACCGCGCTTTCTTTTATCAATGACCCAAATGACCATAAATGACGCCACGCAATGTCAACAATGCAAAAGTGAAGCATCGGACCTTGCAAGGCGTGCAAGAAATCACGATTCCATGTGCTGGAGACAGTTTGAGATAGTTCTCGGCGCTAACATAGCAGTTTTCATTTTTCCCCATTGACTTATACCTAATGGTGAGGTCACGTGGCCGACCTGTCCTCATGTGATTTTTAGGGAAAATCCGAGATATATGTACAAGTTATGAGACCTCTGCATGATACTACATCCTGTAAGTTTCATCTCCCTGTGAAAGTTCCTCTGGCACTGACGGCGTTGCGAAGTTGCGACATCTGAGGACCATGCAGAGGTTCACTTATGACGTGATAGGTCAGTGACCTGACCTGACCTGAAAATGCGGTTGGTGTCACAAGATGCGGCTTGGATCAAAGGTATGCCAAGTTTCAGCTCTCTATCGCCTGCGTGTTCGGAGCTATCGTGAAAAACCCTATAGGGAGGCGGCACCCCCCCCCCCCCCGTCGGACGGCGAGGGTTAATGATACATGCAGTACCTGATACGAGCATAAGGTTAAACATGCCTAATTTCATTTCAAAAATAACGCTCGAAAGCGTCACAGCTAGACAAAAAAGAAAAACTGTACTTAAAAATAAGCGGATGTGAACACAATCTCCTTGACCGAATCCTTACAAAATGCAAGTCACGGGCCATGACACCCCAGAAAACCTTGCTTAAAAAGACCCACTGAATCGCCACGAAATCAAGTGCTTTAACATAGGCGTGTCATCTCTATGTATATAAGATCAAGGCCATATTATAAGATCTCTATGCGCAGAACCACATAAGCAAAAGCGAGTCTGAAAAAGAACAACATCAATTATATAACTATCCAAACCGAACAACACCGATACTAGCTATAGCTTTCAGCACCGGAGAGTGCGAAAAAAACAATGACATCAACAGTACACCACTCTGACGTTTCAGAACTCGGCCCTAACGCGCTGAACATGACGTAAAATTCAACTGCGTCTGCGTCCAGTTGGACCGAGGACCAGCAGTGCTTCACACCGCTTAACCCGCGCTCAAGTGTGTGGGGGTGTTTGAACACCCCCCCCTGCGGTTTTTTGGTATACCTTACCGGGCATCCTTTCCCCATCTTCCCTGAAAATTTTAGACCCAGGTCACCTCAGGTCAGGTCACCAGGTCAATCGAAGTGACCCAACCTCCAAAAAACTTTGGGGTCCAGCCACGGCCATAGTGGTTGACAGAAAGTTTTGAAACTTTCAGGACTTCAATAACTCATTGGTACAAACAATTCGTATATCTCAGAATTTTGATATCGGTGATCTCGGGTCAGGCCATTTTTTGGGTGCCTCCATTATATACGTAAACCTATGGGGATAAGGCGGTATCTACGATGTTTCATAGCTACTGGCTAGGAAACGTTGATAAGTTGTGTTAGATGTGTTTTCATAAAAGGAGAGGCGGCTACAAGACTATTTTATGATCTTGACCTTTCAAGGTCATATTAGGTCATCTGGTCTGAACGGTACTGCATAGGCAGATATTGGTGTATTGGACCTCTGGACCACGAATAATGACCTAAGCACAAATCCTACATTTGTGTCCTGTCGCCAGTTATATTGGCTCTTCTCACCTAGTTGGATTTTACTCTCACTTCATTATTTTACGAAATAACGCAGATTTGAAGAAGTGACATTTTCAAAACATTTTTTTTTCATTGACCTCTGGTGACCTCAATATTGACCTGAGGTAAAAAATGACTGAAGAAAATTCTTCATGATTTTTGACGAGCTTTCCATTGCTTTTTTCCGTTTCTTTCTACGATGCCTAGGAGCCGAGTTAGTGGGGGGGGGGGGTGTTCTACCCCCCCCCCCCCACACACACACACCAGGTCGTGGAAAATCCAGACTGACACTGGGGCGCGGGTTAATTAGAAATTGTTATTGCAGCCAGAGTTTTATATGATAGCCACGTTACAATAAAACATCGCCTTATTGCATTAACCATTTAAAATAACAAATGCCTTTAGTAAGGTTAGTTCATTTTACGGTAAAAATTATGTGTCAAAAGTTGCCGTTACCCACTGCGACTTTCTACAAGCACGACACAATGAAACAAAGCACAGACCTTTCATTACTACATATCTAGGAATGAGGTGGTCTATGAGCAAACCCAAGTCAATTATGCTATGCAATATGCACGGTCGAGTCAGAAACGTGTCCGCCGTGCCGGGTGACCGGGCGCCGTGAGGGGGAGGGAGTGATTGACAATCAGCCACTGACGACTGACTGTCAGCAGTGGGGGAGGGGAGGGACGACTGCCTGTCGGTGAGGGGACGAGACTGACTGACGTCTGTCTGCCCGTGAGGGAGAGGAGTGGGTGGGCCGGAGGGGCTGACAGCTGTCTGTCAGCGGTGGAGGGGAGTGGCGACTCCCCGTCACTCTGGGGAGGGAGCGGCTGACACGGACGTCTGCCGTTCGGTACACAGGTGACTGACAACTCTCCGTCAGTGACTGACCTTTGGGCTTGCCGACGGCCTCTGCCAGACGGACATGCTGCAGCTTCAGGTGCTTCTTGATGGCCTGCACGGCCTCGCTGAGGGAGAGCTTGTTCTCCAGCTCGGCCAGCCGCCCGGAGCCGCGGCTGGGCTCCGGCAGCTGGGAAGGCGCGCGGGTGACCGATCAGTGGCTCAGCCACCGACATAACACAACAGACAGCGCGGCATTCGACATAGCACTAACGCATCAACTGAGCACAGCACCAACCAACCGACACACTAACTAGGCATAGCACAAACATCACATTACCAAAGCATCACATTAGTACCATAAAAAACTTCTGCGTAATACTTAGAAAGGAAATGGGAAGAAAATAATCTAAGTAACGAATGCAAATGTTTGGTAGCCCACACGTGTCACTGACTGAGGTGCAGTTCCCATTGTGGAATGATTGCTGCAGGTGCACCACACAGCCAGCTCACCGTGGGGACTTATGCCATCCTAGCACGCATTAAGTGGCAAGTTAAAGTATTTCGATTTCCACTTTTTTGTTATTCATTCCACGTAGAATTGTCCAGCGCATCCGAATCACACCTTAAATCGTCTGTAAAATGATTGTGTATGCCTCAAAAAACCTCTCAAAGTGTAGCTTCGTCCTGACCAGCGTCGTGCTACCTGCATACAGCGAAAAAGCACACTACAATAAAACGCCCTCTCACTCGTTTCCCTGAACAGCAGGTTATAGTTGCGACATGTTTTCATTATCTTTGACTTATAAGGAAGATGATGGTATGCACGAAAATTTCCAAAATTCATCCAAATGTATAATTTTTGACCGAAATGCTAAAAATGTTAAAATGCTTCTTGATTCAGAGAGTTGACAAGCAAACTATTGCCTTACAAAGTTTGATACGCGTTGGTACGCGTGGAAATGTATATCAAAATGTTCTCCAATAATTTCTGCATCGGGGGCAGCTCTCATTTTTTGCCGAAATTTGCCTAAACCAGTCACTATGAGACGCCAAAGCAGACGGTGCCGCGTGGTTTCTTACGCCCCGCCGGGCCGCGCCGCGGCGGGTTACCCGACCGCAGCACACCGCCCGGGGGTTTCCGGTCAGTATAGGAGTTGGGAGGAGGGAGGAAGGGGGTGATACCATGTTGACATTATTTTTCTATCGCCAAATGTTCTTTTTGAACAAAACAACAACACCCTTGCAACGCTGCGTCCATTTTATTGGCTATCGCCGCCAATGTTCACCTTATTGGACTTACCTACTGGTGTTCCTAATGAATTTCCTACCGGGTGTTCAAATTACCTACCTAGGACTTACCTAGGTACAGTACAGAACTTTGATATATGTAAATCGAAAAATGCTGTAACTTTGTAAAGTGAGGTTGGAGGTTTTTGGGGTGCTAATCACGAATTTCAAGCTAGTTTTGATCAAGGATGATGTTTTCATGCTAGGCCGGGTCAGGTCAGGCCCGACCAGTAGGTGTCTTGCCGGCTATCCATAGAAGGTAGGCGTCGATTACCTTTGACGGCTTCGTAGCATGTTCCGTTGGGCACAAAAACTACTTAAATCTTCAAATGGGTGTTAAGTTCGAAATAAGCTCCAAGCACTTATCTAGAAAAATCGTATAACTTGAAAAAGTCAACTAAGGTCATCTAAGGTAAATGACCTTGATTTCACCGTAACGTGACCTTAAAATGCAGAGAACAAACAGCATTTCATACCTTGGAGAGTTAACAATCACAACAAGACTGAAAACGCGCCGATAATGTGCGCTGATAAGCGCCAAATCGATACCAGCCTGACATGGTCTGGTGAAACAGGTCACAGGTCAAATTTTTATTAAGGTCAAGGTCATGAAATTTCAAGTGTGTGAGTAACATTGATCGAATCGAAGGTATAGAAAGTTTTGTCGTGATCCGCCACGTTTTGCTTGAGTTAGTATGCGAAAAGTCGAGGACAGAAGTCTGTGCGACCCCCTCCCCCTTTAAGTGCAAGTACTAACAAAGTGCAAAGGTTAAGCCCGAAATGCCTTTTGGTGATTGGGCTAGACATGAACAAATATCTACTTCTAAAACGATTGTAGTTTCGTTCTACTTTTTTAACGCTTCCACGCCCACGATGCATTGCTAGCCGAAAACGCTTCAGTGCTAAGTCTGTGGGGAGGGGGCGGGGGAGGGATGGGGTCAAGCAGGAGAGCCAACCATGTTGTCAGGGATCATACACCCTAAGCCTAACCATTTGAAGGTGAAATAAAATTAGTTAAGGTAGCGGAGGATGCGATATAAATAAATTCGTGCTAGGATCGATAAAAACCCCACAGTGCAGCTGCGCCGCCATTGTGGTCCCCAGTCTGTCCTCACCTGTTCGGCCGTCGTGAGTCGAGTGGCGGCCGAGGTGAGTCCCGCGGAGCCGAGGAACGCTGTCAGGGTCGCCAGGTGTCTCCGTGGAGTGCTGACGACCAGATGAAGCCGCGGCTGGGGGCCGCTCGTCAGCGGACTGCCCAGCGTGCGCACGTCCAGCACCACGTCCTGATACCTGGCGCACGGGCAAAGCGTGATCGGTCACAGCGTCTACGGTCATAGTGTATACGGTCACAGTGTATACGGTCACAGTGTATACGGTCAGTGTATACGGTCACAGCGTAATACGGTCAAAGCGTACACGGTCAGAGCGTAATACGGTCAGAGCGTGCGTACACGACCACAGCGCAGCAAAATTATAGCGTATACAGCCACAGCTTATACGGTAACAAACAACTACCTAAAACAATACTAAATTCCAGTTGCGCCACATCAGTATCCCGTTTGAAGACTCCTTTCATCTAGCATTGAGCCTGTCGGCTGTCACGAACGATCATGTACCGAATGAACGAAAAAGAGCGCAACCCGGTCTCATTACGTGCCTTGGTATATTCCTAAGATCTTTACACAACGCATGAGGTAGTTGGCTGACAAAGGCACCCGCTGATAGTACTGAGCTAATCGTCACCGTCTTATAACGGTCACCCTCGCAGCCGGTACTGACCTAGCCTCTACGGAGGCGCCGGGCAGCTGTCGGCACAGCTCGTGCAGGTCGTCCACCCAGTCGAGCTGGCGCTGCGGACCAGCCGGCAGCGCCACCGCCAGCTGAACGCTCGGCTCCGGCGCCAGGCTGGGCGTCAGGGGCGTCACTCGGGCAGGTCCTGGGAAGACGGGGGGGGGGGGGGTCAGAGGCGGGCTGACGGGACGGGGAAGACGAGAACATGGAGATGAAAGTGATGGGAGATATAGAGCGACATATTTCTGACGAAAAAGACGGCAATTTTGTGGATATTGTAAGCGTAAAACGCATTCGTGGGTATTTTGCGCACACATATGGCTATAGTAAGGTCGGTAGCAGTGCGCCCAGACGCACCGAACGCCTCGCAGAGCCAGTCGTTGACGCCGCCGTCCAGAGCGTCGTAGCAGGTGTGGGGCGAGTACACGGCGATACGGTTTTCCACACAGGTAACGGCGATACGCTCCTGTGGACAAAACAAACGGCACAGGTGACGGATGAAATAAACGGCACGACAGACATATGACGAAAGAAACAAACTGCACGACCGACAGGCGATGGACTAAACGAGCAGCACATCAGAAAACAGAACAGATAAACAAACAGTACAACTTAACATTTACCAGTGTGACCAGGGATGCGGAGCCGTGGAATGCGGACAGCTTCGGCTCCGGCTCCGGCTTCGGATAAATAAAATCGGCTCCGGCTCCGACTCTGGCTCCGGGTGAAATGTTATGGCGGCTCCGTCTCCGGCTCCGGCTCCAGGCAAAAATGTGCCGGTTCCGGCTCCGCACCCTGAGTGTGACATTATTGACCGCCACGCCACCTGTAAACCCCACAGCCGCGCTGGCCCAAACGACAGCAGCCTACCTTCCACGATTTGGAGAAGGCCAGCCGCTTCAGAGGCCGGAAGATGGGCGGGTGATAGCTGAGGATCAGGTCGACCTTCCGCTGCACCGCCTCGGCCATCACGTCCTCGGTCAGGTCGTTGGTCAGCAGCATCCTCTGAGGCACGGCAGACAGAGATCGACCATCAGAGATCGGGGCTGCTACATGTTCCATCGCATATCAGCGATACAACCCGTCTGACAGTCACAGCATTTGAAACAGCTGTGTAAACCTAGCACTGAGCCGTGAGCACTCTGTTTTGTGTTTTCCTTACGTCTTTCTACGGCTTATGATCTTATTGTAAGTTATTGTGTAATTTTTGTCTAGAATAAATTTAATTTTTCTTTTAGAGAAAACCACCACTTGATTAAAGTTGAGGCCGAATAAATTACTTTTGTAAGCATATGACTTAACATTAACTTGAGAAGGCAAATAAATAAATAAAAGCAAATTGCAAATCATTATGCTTATAATAATAATTATGAATACATATATGCTGATCAGGGAAGAACCACTACCAAATTTTTCTGCCATAGATTATACTGAACCTCTATTATACATTATATAAAATAATATTTGTGAAGTGTCAAATTTCAGCAGCGATTACCTGAACAAGTTTGGGTGGCGATGGTTCGACGAGTAGTCCGACATTGTCCCACTTTTCGGCGAGTCGGCTGGGCGCGAACAGTTCCAGTCGCGAGATGACCTCCGGGAGCTCGAGGCCCAGTCGGGCAGGCTGGCCGGCCATGTCACTCACTAGCGAGGCAGTGGCGCAACACCACTAAAACTCGCCTGCAAATGGCAATTTTATAACCGGTCAAACCTTCATACACCAATGGCCATACTTCAATGCATCTTACTTCGTAATCCCTACCATCTGGTGGCACTTTCAGTATCCATGCATTGTTTATTGATTCCAACTACGTACCTACTCACTCTGTCTGTGATAAGAATTTAACCCTCGCCCTGGCGGGGGGGGGGGGGGGGGTCGATGCGACCCCCCCAAGGTTTTTCGAAAATAGCGTAAAAACGGCGGTGCGCGCCGCCAAATTTGGCACAGCCTATGGGGCAACCTTTTTACATATGACCTGAAAATTTCAGGTCCGGGTGACCTTGGGTCAGGTCACCAGGTCAGAAAAACCGGTACAAGGTCATGGGGCCGTTGGGCAAGGCAGCCGGCTGCTCCGTGCACCGTCTTTCTCCCGTGAAGTTCCGACCGGTGAGCGGCCCAGAGCTGGATCTGCCGGACAACACATCACCGACCTCAGCAGCGACCAAGTCCTGCCGTATCAGCTCACTAGAGCAGTGCGGACGGGCAACATCTCCGCAAAGAAGGCCTGCAAGAAAATCGGTCCCCTGAACCATACAAGGTAGGCAAATGCTAATTCAGTTGAATTCAGTTTGATATTGAATGGCAAAGATGCATCTTTTCTGTGTAACCGTTGTCTAAATAACCGCAGGTTGTTTGAAAAGACAAACACTATTCGTTAGAATTGTGTTTTTCTATTGAAAAACAACCGGAGCGGTCCTTCTCCGGGCTATGTTTTGCATGTCTGGCCGCGAATTGGGGCAACTTGGGTCAGGCCTAAACTTGTGGCTCGATTTTCTTAAAAATTTCAGTGTATGGGCTCCCGCAGGCGATCTACCTGATGGCTTCGGTCGCTACTCGCTTAAAACCTCGTGGCACGTGGCACGTGCGATTCCATTTTCCCCATGTTAAGTCAATGGGGTTTTGGACACTTTTTGCGCGATCGCGAATAGCGGGAAAACGAGCCAAGGAAGAGGTGGTTTTCTTCCCAGCATTTTATGGCAAACACGTTTGGGTACACGCTAGTGTGCGCCGTATACCCCTCAGAACTTCGTAACGTGACTTTGCACGAGGTCAAAGTTGAACTTTTTTCGCTCCCCATGTTAAGTCAATGGGCATTTTTGCAGAGACTTTTTCATTCGCTCATTGTACAAAATTATATGATACGATTTTGTTTAAACTTCCAGGACTTGTTGAGAAAAGACCATAGAACATGTTGTTATGCTTCTTTAAGCTGTGCAAATTCGTTTGTTCTTTTTAGGCTCGTTTAAAAATGAAAAATTTTAACATGGAAAGTCAATGGGAGCGTCTTTGCTGCTTAATAACTTTTTACAGTTGAGATATATTTATGTGAAAAGTTGATAGGTTATACAACTTTTGATGCTCTTTCCAATGATATATACAACTTTATTGCACGTGGTGCCGTTTTTGAGAAATATAGTAAAAAAGCACGACATTACCGAGATTTGAGCTCAGACCTATATCGTTACGGTGTCAGGCGGACACGAGGACAGGTGGCGCCGCCGCCGCCCGCATAGCGGCGGGAATGTGAACTAACCTGTTTACCATCTATGGTATGGTACCATCGGGGGACCGGCCGCCGTCGGCACCATTTCGGGACTTTGCATCGCAATAAAAGGCTTATTTACAATTGAAAATGGACTAGCGAGAGTCGTTATGGAATCAGAATTTGATGCTCTACAAAACTAGGCTATTTTCATTGTGATGGCATCACAGACTACACCGCTAAACCCAATAAAGCAGATTTATGTCGCGTCATCGATGATTACATATAATGTATCATTCTTTGATATATATGTAGTCGGGTCTTTCAGCTGCGTCCCTCCCCTCCCTCGCCGCGCCGGCGGGTCGGCCATCCGTGGCTTGCCGCCCGCCGGCTGCTGGCCGGTCAGCTGGCCGGTCAGCTGGTCGCCCGCGGCTGTCGGTGCAGTGCGGGATGCCTACTTGCGGGGGGGGGGGGGGCCGTCGTGGCGGCGGCCCGGGTGGACTGGGCGAGCAGTGAGTTGGGGAGCGCTGCGCTGTCGGTGCTCTAGTTTGTATTGCGTTCGCATGATACGGCTTGAGCCAATACAGAGTGAACTGATTGAGCTGAGCAAGTCTTTACATACATTGAAAAGTAAAGCACTTTTTACTGCATCTACGGTGAGATGCTAGATAAAATTTATGGTCTACCTAATGGTACCCATTACTTAACAATTAAGTGAATCATTTCGTCGCTAAACTCTCGTAAATTCGTATGTCCGCCTCACTATGGAGTTTGGACCGTAACGTATGGCCTTTGCTCAGACAGTATACGAACAGGTGACGGGGATACCTCTAATAGAAGGATGCGACACGATTTTACTGCTAAATAGCGGCCGGCCGCCGTGGGGACGTTTTTGTACGACTTATATCTCGGCAACCACTGGGCTGATACACGTGCGGTTTTTTTGTGTGGGGTAGCTTTTTCCCTTCTTTCACATAGTGTGCTACTCTCGATGCATATGGGTGACCCCTAACGCACGTTCCACGTGCAAAGCCAAGAGGTGCCTGTTTTGTAATAAGCGCAATAGCTCGCGGTAATTACTGGGCCGATTGCGCTAAAACTTGGCATGGAGGTAGACACTTTCCAGGCGATGCATTTCCATGTGTCTTGGTAGGGGTGCAACTGCACGTGCGCACGTGCAGGGTGACGCTTCCAGATCTCGAGAACGGCTGGACCGATTGTGTTCAAATTTGGCATAACGCTTGATACCGATCAGTAGGTTGCAGTCATTTAGTATGTATTTCCATGTGCCACGATTGGGGTGCAACTGCACGTGCGCACGTGCAGGGTGACGCTTCCAGATCTCGAGAACGGCCGGGCCGATTGAGTTCAAATTTGGTACACCGCTAGAGACCGATTAGTAGGGTGCCGTGCGCAAGTCAGTTTGGACCCATCTTGCACGTGCGCACGTGCAGGGTGACGCTTCCAGATTTCAAGAACGGCTGGACCGATTGCACTCAAATTCGGCAAACATCTAGAGATCGATCAGTAGGGTGCCGTGCACAAGTCAGTTAGTATGTATTTCCATGTGTCACGGTTGAGATGCAACTGCACGTGCGCACGTGGAGGGGTCGTTTCAAGATCTTGAAAACGGCTGGGCCGATTGAGCTCGAATTTGGTACACCGCTAGGGACCGGCGAATAGGGTCCCATGCACAATGCAATTGGACACAGCTTGCACGTGCGCACGTGCAGGGTGACGCTTCCAGATCTCGAAAATGGCCGAGCCGATTACACTCAAATTTGGCACACCGCTATAGATCAGCGAGTAGGGTGCCGTGCACGTCAGTTTGTAACACACCGACTCCGGTCTGCACGTGCAAGGCTCATCCTCTCGTTTGGCGGCGGGCGTTTTTGCTGCGTTTACAAAGGTGCTTGCTCAAACAACCTGCGGTCCCGCGATGCGGAGCCCAGCATCGCAGATGCTGGTAACCGCAGGTTGTTTGAAAAGACAAACACTATTCGTTAGAATTGTGTTTTTCTATTGAAAAACAACCGGAGCGGTCCTTCTCCGGGCTATGTTTTGCAAGTCTGGCAGCGAATCGAGACATTTTGGGTGGGGCCTAAACGTGCATTGCGATTTTCGTAAAAATTTCAGTGTATGGGCTCTCGGGGGCGATCTACCTGATGGCACCGGTCGCTACTCGCTTAAAACCTCGTGGCACGTGGCACGTGCGATTCCATTTTTCCCATAGTAAGTCAATGGGGGTTTGGGACACTTTTTGCGCAATCGCGAATAGCGGGAAAACGAGCCAAGGAAGAGGTGGTTTTCTTCCCAGCATTTTATGGCAAACACGTTTGGGTACACGCTAGTGTGCGCCGTATACCCCTCAGAACTTCGTAACGTGTCTTTGCACGAGGTCAAAGTTGAACTTTTTTCGCTCCCCATGTTAAATCAATGGGCGTTTTTGCAGAGGCATTTTCATTCGCTCATTGTACAAAATTATATGATACGATTTTGTTTAAACTTTCAGGACTTGTTGAGAAAAGACCATAGAATATGTTGTTATGCTTCGTTAAGCTGTCAGAATTCGTTTGTTCTTTTTGAGCTCGTTTAAAGAAGAATTTTTTTAACATGCAAAGTCAATGGGAGCGTCTTTGCTGCTTTATAACTTTTTACGTTATAGATATATTTAAGTGAAAAGTTGATAGGTTATACAACTTTTGATGCTCTTTCCAATGATATATAGAACGTTATTGCACGTTGTGCCGTTTTCCAGGTGTTGTCCATCTGAACTTGTCAGTCACGTGACCCATTTGACCTTCGGATCCAATTCTCGTAGTCAATTCTGGCGCTTTTGTTACCATAGCGAATTATGTAACACCGTGTTCACAGTTTACTGACGACGAAGGTCCTGCTTAATCTGGCCAATGGCGTTCGAGAACTGCGGCCAAGCCCCGCTGATCTTCAACGTGATTGGTCGGTGGGCGTATAGAATCTCCGTCGTCAGGGAGACTGCGAACACGGGGTAAACCAAGGGGTAAACAATCTGTGCGTGTGGAATGGGGAGTGGTGAATGTGCAGGGGCGATGATAGCGCTGATGTCGATTTTTATTTATACTTTTATCCTTATTATACATTCTGATCATTTTTTACGTTCAGGAGTTTTCTCTGTTGATTTAACATAAAAAACGGTGTGTTTCACTGTTATTGCCAAGTGCCATATTGATATTGAAATTGGGGTACAATTCAACATTCACTCAGTTGGGGAAACTACGAGGAGCCAAACAAAAATTGGATTAGCCAATCAGCGGCTGGAGTGGGCGGGGCTTTAGCATTCAAATGAAAAGATAAGGCATAAGAATGTTTTTTAACCACGCAAGGCCTACACTCACCCGGTGCATAATTAACTGGCGGCTCTAAATCGCAGAGTTACAACGCAAGGTCAAACCGTGATTGGTCCGTGATTGGCAAATATGGCGGATTGAAACGGACGCGCCACAAAATGTAAGCAGTACCGTGGTTTAAA